AAAATAGATACTTAATTTTTGGTACCTTGATTTATATATAGGTGAATAGTATATGATATCTGGTATGACGATGCGATTATTTTTTTGTCGTTATCCAATTTGATTATAAAATATAAAAAGCAAAATGAATAAAATGTACCAAAAAAGTATCCCAGAACTCTCTTTTTTGCCCTACTAAAAATCTTTTTTTGAAATTTAGATAATTTTTAATATATAGACAACTTTACTTTTTTTTTTATAAATTAAAACAAATATTACTATTTTATAATTCTTATTTTCAAATATTATTATATAGGACTAATCTAGAGATCGCATCCCTGCGTAGCACTTTATTTCGCACCTGGGGTGCGATACACTTATATATCGCAAACAGTACTAGCAATATATTGCGATCAATCAAATCGTATTACATGCTTACATGAATATCTGGTAAAGAATTGCCAAATGATATTCGTGATTTTGGTAACGATTGATTATGTAATAATACAATGAAAAATCAACTTTGCACGGCCTTATCATTATATTCAGAACCTTATATATTAAAACCCATTATATACTAATAACACCCCAAATCAGTGCTGAATCAAGAACTTATCGAATCAGCCACATAATAATTCGATCAATTGCACACCAAAAGTTCCAAAATTTATGGGAACAGCTGGTAATTTATTAATGAACGTCAGAATTACAAATTTATTACATAACGAACATTTTGAGATTGAAATACTCTAAACTCTAACCCTAACACAGATCTTATTCTAATTTCTAAAACCCAAAACTCAATGTCTAAGAACAGAAAAGAACCAACACTTCTAAAGTAGCTGATATAAATGAATAACACTCCTCAAAAAAACAACAAAAATAAAACGAAAATCAAAAAAAACAACCATTGACTAAAGATAAACACCAAATACAACAACTCCAGTGACGACTCCAACAACGATTTCAATGATATTAGTTCAAAAGAGCAACGAAACACCGAAAGCTAAGACTCCAAAGAACGAAATTATAACGACTCAAAAGAGCTACAAAAGACAAAACAAAAGTTAGTAAGAAACAAAAAAGAACAAAGCCTAAAAAAGACACCAAAAACAAAAACTCTAATGACGACACCAAAAGCGATGACTCCAACGATGATAGTCCAAAAGAGCAACGAAACACCGAAAGCTAAGACTCCAAAACCGAAATCACAACAACTCAGAAGAGCTACAAAAGAAAAAATAAAAGTTGATAAGAATCAAAAAAGAACAAAGCCTAAAAAAGACGCCATAAACGAAAACTCCAACAATGACACCAAAAGCGACGACTCCAACGACGATAGTCCAAAAGAGCAATGAAACACTAAAAGCTAAGACTCCAAAGACTAAAATCATGACGATTCAGAAGAGCTACAAAAGAAAAAATAAAAGTTAGTAAGAATCAAAAAAGAACAAAGCTGAAAAAAGACACCAAAAACGAAAACTCCAACAAAAGCAACGACTCCAACGACGATTTCAACAAATGCTCCAAAAGCTATAATGACTCCAAAAACAATGAAGAAGCACCAGGAAAGACAGTACACTGAAATCATGATGACTCAAAAGAACTACAAACGAAAGTTAGTAAAAAACAAAGCTTAAAAAAAGATACTAAAAATGACGACTTCAAAAGTGGCGACTCAAGCGACAATTTCAACAAGACACGACGACTTCAAAAGGGCAACACTGAAGCGACAACTTCAAAAAGGACTATGGCGAAATTAACAAGAATTAAAGCGAAAGTACTGAAAAAAAAACAGATGTTGACACATCATTGTTTACCTGATCACACGATATATATTCTATTGGTCGGGCAATATCTAAATGTATTGCAGGGTGCGATCTATACATTTATTCTATTATATAAAACTAATTGTAAACCCATGCAATAATGCACAGGAATAAATTTATAAAATTTTTAAAAATTATTTTAAAATAAAATTAGTATATATCAGAGATGATACTGAAACAAGATGATGCTAAAACATTGACTTATTGTAATATTAAATTTTAAAATTTTTGGAAATGTTTTTTTTGTAGTTAAGTTAGGGTTTAGGGTTAGTATTTATAATAAAAATGTATAGGTGGATTTTAGTAGAGCTTATATTTTTAAATCGAGACCCCTACATTTAGTATCATCTTGTTTTAGCATCATCTCTAACATTATATAGTAAAACTTTTATAATTATTAAGCTATAAACTCATGCAATATAAAAAAAAGATTTAATATAAAATAAAATAAAATTTTAAATCTAAAGCAAATTAATTTATTAGCTTTTGTTTAATTTTAATTTAATTTATTAAAACTAAAAATTTATTGTTTCATAAATATTTTAGAATCTAGTAATTAAAATTAAATTACTCTTTTTTTATTGAATGTGCCTTATTGAGAGCTTTTATTTTAAAAAAAAATTATCCAAATTGGACTGCTGGTTGCCAAAATAATTACAAAAAACCACTTTTTGTATATTTTGAACTCAAAGTAAATTACATTGAACCCAAAGTAGGTCTACTTTAAACCCAAAGTGGATCCAATTGTAGTTTCTTTAAGTTTTATTAAGTAAAGATATCTTTAAGATCTAAGTAAAGTTGTAGAGTGGATAATTCTGAGTTAAATAGTAGTTAGATCATCAAAATTGGGCTAGTAGTTATTGAAAACAAATTTGCTATTACATGAAAATCAATACTTCATATAATAGTAATTTTGCTGATTCTTATATTTACACCTTTAACCCAAGATATTTCAAAAATCACTGAGCCAATTTTAATAATCCAACTACTATTTGACTCAGAATTATCTTCTTTACAACTTTATTAAATTTTGAAGATATCTTTACTTAATAACTTCTTGTATAAATTTAAACAAATCAGAATACAAATTTAATATTATACAATTTAAGTGAATTGTTTATATTAGTAATCTAAACATTATCATTACACACAAATATTTTTAGTATATAGTTATAGATTTTTTTAAATATAGTAAATTTTGACAAAATTAAATCAGACACTAAAGTTTTAAAATTTTAGCAGCAAAATTTGCCTACTAAAATGAAATAATATACAAATTTACATCTTTCAGTAGTAATTACAGATTAAATATCATTTGAATCTCTATTGTTATTACCTAATTACAAGGTTTAAGGGTATTAGCTATTAAACAATATTTTTGAAAAAAAATCAAATAAAAAAAATTTATAATCTTATTTAGCTATATATATACTATTAGATTATTAACAAAAAGTAAAAGTCACCCAGAAATAGAATTATATAGATTAAATTTAATAACTACTTGTAAAAGACCAAAATTATTTGATCATAGGTAATATGCTTAGCCACTTGTTATATAAGCAATTACATTTTTATATATATAATACTTTAAAATTAATATAACTATTTGTGTACCAATTTATATTCAATTGTATTCCATTAGCTAATCAAAAGAACTTTTTATTATACTGGTCAATTATGCTGTATTTTATATTAAACTAAATTTATCAATATAAAAAAATTTGTATAATACACTATGTTAGCTAAATTGATGCATAAAACTTGAACAAAAACCAATAATTCAAAACTGAATTAGTTGAATTGGACATTATTTAAAGAATTGATGTATAAAAACTCAATTACCCAAAACTGTGTTAGCTGAATTAATATATAAAACAGGTTTTGTATACCAATTTTGGATATCATAGCAATCAAATCCAGATATTATAACAATCAAATACAAATATTATAGCAATTAAATTTAGATATTATAGCAATTAAATTTGAATATAGTAGCAATTAAATCCAGACATTCTAGCAATCAAATTTAGACATTTTAGCAATCAAATTTAGACAGAAATATCTTATAATTTAATAATCCAAATCACATCATGTTGGTACCATTTGAATCATCTTAACAAGATGAATTGTATAGTACCAACATCATATAATTTAGATTATTAGATCACGAAATATCACTATCTGAATTTAATTGCTAAAATGTCTAAATTTGATTGCTATAATGTCTGAATTTGATTGCTATAAAGTTCGGATTTGAATGTTATAATATTTATATTTGATTGCTGTAATGTCTAAAATTGGTATATAAAACCTGTATAATATTGCATATTTTAACAATATGCAAAAAAGTATATTATTATTATTATTATTTGGTATTAAAGTAAGGCCTTGCTCATATATTTATTGATTAATTTATATAAGTAATTACATATCAACTATATAAAAACTTAATTTGGATAATAGCAAATAAATATAAATTATATTCAAGAATAAAAGCTCAGACTAAAAGTTTAAACTAATAGCTCTAACTAATTATCTACGACCTAAATCTACTAGAGTGATTAAGACTTACCTAGGTTTGAATTGTTAAGATTTGGTTAATAGGTGTATTATATTTGATTTTTTTTTTTTTTTTTGCTTAAGGAGACCTCTTTGGCCTGAAAGCTTTTATTAGAATTTAAAACGATGTTTTATATGCAATTACAACAATGGTACATCAAGCCACACGTGCACCTTTTGAGTGCCTAATTTAAGTAGTCTGCCCGAAGGTTCTACACTATCTGCTGTACCTG